ATCTCAACTAGCAAAAACTCTTGTTCCTTCCTATTATTGCTTATACTCTCTCTTCAACAAAATTAGAGATAAGGGCAAAATAGTTTCTGCTGGGTAATGAGGGGGTGGGGTGGAGAGGGAGGGGGCGAAGTGGGTGGCAGGGGGGAGAAATGACCCAAACCTTGTATGCACATATGAACAATAAAACAATAATAAAAAAAAAAGAAAACAGTATCAGAGAAAGAAACCTTAGGTTTCTTTTAACTTTCTTTTAAGGTACAAAATGTGATTACATTTTATTTTACATCAGACTAGCTGAGCAGAAGTGCCCATGATAGGCATGGTCCCTGCTTAGACTAACCCAGGCCAAGGCAGAGTGCACAGCAGTAGCCTGTAGCCCAAAGCCCAAAGCCCACAGCTGAGCACCAACCCTGACCAGGCAGTTGCAGCTGCTCTCTGGGGTCTTATGACAGAGCGGCCCACAGGCTGCAAAAAGAGAAACCTGAAGGGCTCCGGGATAGAATGAAACTTTAGCAATAATGGGATAGGAGCAGTGTTCTTGCCTGTTTCTGTTTATAATGGCAACATAGAAAAAATACTATCAGGTACCCAGCATAAATGCAGAATTCTCACTGTGACAGCCACCTTGCTCACTAACACCACAAGATACTAATACTGCTTCTGAAACAGATCCCCACAGTCCGTGTGGAAAAAACAGCTCTCAGCCCAAAGATGATGATGTTTAAAAAAGGAAAGAAGCTGAGAGCATCTTGAAGAAAAACAGATTGGATAAGGGATTGGCTAAGTCAGCAAGAAAATATCTGCCTCAGCACTATTTGAAACACCAGTGCTGTGAAGAAAAGGGCATCTTCTGGGCAGAATTTCTAAAGGTTTTTCTTTGCCTCTACTGTTCTTTTCTATGCTGTTTCCTGGGCTGGGGGATCTATACTGGAAGGCATTTGACAACTTCCATCATCACCTTTTCTTTTCTTTTTGTTCCTGGGATACCGCAGTTTGACCTCAGGGCCTCACACTGGCTAGGCAGGTGCTCTACCACTTGAGCCACTCCATCAGCCCACCAGAATGTTTTGATGAAAAATTGGATCTTACTATTCACATAGTGGAGTTTTGTATCTGAACTCTGGACAGCTAACTACAGACCAAACAGGATCCTTGAGTGGCTGCACCACTTGTGTTTATTTGTTCTGCAAATCCTGCATTCCTATTTTAGTAAATCAAAAGTACAGACACTAAAACCATGTTTGTAATTATACTTATGGTATCAACTAATAAGCATATGAGACTGATTAATACCTACTGTAACAATTTGGTAGTAAATTTTGCTTGGATATTTATCCTAAGTATCTAGTATAAATAGTTTTAACATGCTAGACATGATGTACATAGTATTTTTAAAATTACATTAACATTAATTCAGTTAAAACACTTTGTTTCAAAAGAATGAAAAGCTCTGAAGTAGAAATAGTAACCAAGAAGCAACTACAAACTCTACTGTGGAGCTGATTAATAAGGCACATAATGGGCACCTTTTACTCTTCAGCACTCTAGATTATTGGATTTAATCATATCATTTGTGTTCAACTTTGTGTGTTCTTAAAATCAGCTTTATTCTAAGAAAATCTCTGTCTACTTTAAAAGACTGGAAATAGAAAAAAGTAAGTTTTTGCCAAGTTAAAAAAACTGACATCAAGTTTAAATTCAAAATAAGGCTGGCAAAGTGGCTCAGGCAGTAAGAACACTGCATAGCAAGTGAGGCCCTGAGTTCAAATGCCAGTGCCACCAAAAAAATAAATAAATAAAAAATACATTCAAAACAAACCTAAAAGGTAATTAAGGGTAAATAGAATCAGTCATATGTTATAGATAAGCAAACTAAGGGTTAGAGGGAGGAACTGACTTACCAAACTTGCACAGTTAACACGAGAATGAAGAATTCTGGTCTCTTGTAAAGGGCACTTTTTTAAATCACTAAATCACTAAACATACTAAGTGGTAAAACACACAATTTAAGATAAAGTTTTAAGATGAGGCTGAGTTCAAGTTCCAGTGAGGTGTGGGGGAATGACGATGAGGTTTTTAAGCTAGATGTGGTGGTGCTGGCAATATCAACATTTGGGAGGCTAAGGCAGGAGGATCACGAGTTGAAGGCCAGAATGGGCTACTTAGGATACTCTGCTTCAAAAACAAACAAACAAAAATAAGGTCTGGCTGGGGATGTGGCTCAGAAGTAGAGCACTTGCCTAACATGTGTGAGGCCTTGAGTTCAATCCCCAGTACCTCCCTCTGCCCACAAAAAAAGGGTAAGTTTTAGAGTATGGGAAAAATATTCATATACCCTTCAACAAATCATTAAATTAGACAAAGATGTATTTGTTTACTTACTAGTGGAATGATGAAGCTTTGTGTCAATTCTAAAAAATAGCGTCTAAGAATAACACTTTGAGCCTCTGAAGGACGCTTCTGTTGGACACCCTTAAAAGAGGAAACAATGTAAACAAATGAAAATGCTATTTTAAAATATACCATTCATACTAGCACTGAATGATCCTAAAACACTTAGGAATAAGCTAGCTCTGTACAAAACCTGTGCACCAAAAACTACAGGAATTGGCAAACTTTCTGTGAAGAATCAGACAGGAACTATTACAGGCTTTGCAGTTTATGGGTAGTCACCCATTCTTTGTGGGGTTTTTTTGTTTCATTTTGTTCCTTTTAAAATGTTAACACCATTGGACTAGGATGAAGATCAGTGGTAGAGTGACTGCCTAGATGCCTGAGGCCCTGGGTTCAATCCCAGCACCAAAAAGGAAAAGACAAAAAAAAAAAAAAAAAAAAACCAGAAACAATGATAACCTATGTCAGGGAATATAAACAATGGATAATTACCACATTCAACTGCTTTGTAGACATTTACACTTGGTATTTAAAAAAAAAAAATACCCTAAACTTCATGTTCAAATAATTTAATGTGAAGTTCATGTCATGCCCTATGAAAAGAATCTTTAGACAGAGGCTGGGAAGAGAAAGGGGCAAGGAGACAGAATAGGTGATCCAAGGGTAAGAGCAAAAAGGCCTGGTGTGGTATTGTATGGTAGAATGACAACAGATAACAATTATGTATATTTCTTAAAAGCTACAAGACAGGATTTTGAATGCTTTCACCATAAAGAAATGATGACCGTCTGAGGAGACAGATATGTCTAACTTGATTTAAACATTACACCAATGTATACACGTATAAAACATCATAGTATTTCCACTGATATGTATTTTTATGTTTTATGTATCAATTTAAAAATAAATTTAGATTAAAAGATCTTTGGAGCAAAACCTAAGTGCCTGTAGCTTAGGGAACTTCATTCATTCCACACCTTTAGATAGCAGTTCACAATGAAGACAATGGTTATTTATTCCATATTTGTTAATACTATTTACATGATTTTTACAAATGCTGTCTCCTACTATGAGATGCTAAAGTAACTCATGGTAAAATCTGTAACTTTTTCACTGTAACTCCAAAGTCTCTAGAATGATTAGCACTAAGTTTATAGCTTTACCCCCAATATTGCTGTTACTTTAGTTTCTTGATTTTTATGAAGCTTTGATTTAAAAGTAAGATTCCATTTCATACACAAAGTACATACTAACTCAATATTACGTGCCTAAATAACAAAATGTAAATTAATAATATGAGCTAGTAATTACCTTTTGTAATTGTTTTATGATCTCTTCATCTCTATTCAGATATGGCTTGTAAGAAGTATAAACTCCTAAGAAGTGAAGAAAAGATGATAAACAGAAAAACCCAGCAACCCAGTTAAGTATATATTTAAAAATTAATGAAAGTCAATACCAGGTTTAGAATCCAAAGTCTTTAGGTTCTTCAATTTTTTCACTTTAACTTGTTTAGGAATTTCACCTGAAGGAAACAACACAAAAATTCTCATAATTGGACTGGGGGCTGTAGCTCAGTGGAGTACTTGCCTAGCATACACAAGGCCCTGGTTTCCAACCCGTTAGCGGTGTTACAGCTAAAGAACTCTTCTTAACATCATTTAATACTTAAGAGAGTTCATTCTTGGTAATTTTAAAACTGGATAAAGGGAACACTGTAATATAATTTTACAGAAACAATTCAGGTACTAATGTACATTTGGTCTTTCATTAGTATATATTTATTATTACTAAATAAATCTGTAATTTAAAATTTATATGTCAAATAGGAATAAACTATGCTTGAAGAGTAAATGGAAAAGAAATTCCTAAATGACTGTGCAGATTCAAAAGTTTTGTTTATTTTTTATTATCTCCCCACATTCTGCATTTGCATTATAGAAACTTAGATTGCCACCAAGTGGTGATAGTGTGTGTAAAAACCACAGGTCTGAGCCACAGATGGACAGAACTCCTGGCAAGGCTGCTGTATTGAACAGCTTGTATAGTACATGCTTTAGCCAAGGTCTGTGGTCAAGGGAAGTTATCATGTAAGCAACCCTTGTAACAGGCATGAAAAAACAAAATGCCTCAAAAGTTACAAAAAGTGTCATGAACATACCTACTTTACCAGATTTTTTTCTCCCATTCTTTGCTCTCTCTGCAGAAAAGTAAAGAAACCTAATAACTGAAAGACAATCTAAACCTTGTCTAATTCAAGAGTATAAATATGTAAAGTATCTTTGTTTAAATCATTACATAGATCACACTGCTAATTATAGCATGCATGAGGTGGGATCACAGGAATGTTGGAACATTTTCACTCACAATCTTACATTGTTAAAAACTTTTTAAAGTATGTACTATGTCAAAACAGATTATTTTTAAAACTTTTTACTCTGAAATAATTTCAACCTTATAGAAAAGGCAAAAAATAGTCTATACTGGAAATTTGTCACTTTCCCTGATAATAACTTTAAACAGATACTTGATAAAGAAGCAAAATCATGGATTATGGTGTTTACAGACTTTTTTTTACTAAGTCAGTAAATATTAGTAAATGCAAAGTGCTTATCAGACAGGAATAAAACAGCTAAGTCCAGATACCAAAGGGCTCTCAGTCTCAAGGTGAAATATGACAAAGAGAAATGACAATACAAAGGTATACATGCTAGATAAAATTAAGAAAAAGTAACTGCAGAGAGTATCCTAGACAAACAGAAATAAGAAAAGTATTCAGGATTTTGAATCAAGAAGATGACATTTAAACAGTGTTATAAGAGAAATAAAAACTTAACTGTGCCGGGCACAGTAGCTCACGCCTGTAATACTAGCTCCTCAAAAGGCTGAGATAAGCCCAGGCAAAAAGTTCAGGAAACCCCCAACTCAACTAATAAAAGCTGTGCCCAGTAGCAAATGCCTGTCATACCAGTTATGCAGGAAGCATAAATAGGAGAATGTGGTCCAGGCATAAATATGAGACTTATCTGAAAAGTATCTAAAGCAAAAATGGCTGGGGGCTGGTGGAGTGAGTGGCTCAAGAGGCAGAGTGCCTGCCCAGCCAAATATGAGGCCCTGAGTTCAAACCCCAGTACTACACACACACACACACACACACACACACACACACACACACACACACACACACGAACACACTCCACTTAACCGTGGGAAGAAGGTGAAAGACCTTTTAGGTAAAAAAGTTAAATCGAGAAGCACAAAGAACATGATGCTTACAAAGTTACAGATAATGGTAGCAGGGATAGGAATAGCCATGATTCTCTGAATATCTATTCTTTGCCAGTCTCTGCTATAAGAACATTGCATAAATTACTGCATTTAATCTTTACAATAAAAAAAGTATGACTCCCATGTCACAGACAAAGAAACTGAGGCACAAACAAAACTGATGTACCAGTTCCAGCTATTTACTGCTATAATCTATTCTGACTAATGAGTGCCCCATTCAAACCGTTGTCAGCTCTGTCATAACAAGACACAGAGAAACAACCTGTTCCATGACAGTCTGATAACATGCTTAAGCTAGAATATTAAATGGGGCATTCCAGTTTCAGAGCTGTCACACTTAACCACCACATTCTGATAGCAGGAATAGAAAGATGAGAGAATAGACAGGAGCTGAAGCTAGAGAAGTATAGTCAGAACCAGAGAAATATAAAGATGCCTGACATGTAAAGAGATTGAAAGCATGGGAGAATAGTAAATGAGCATGACATGATGCTGCATTTTTAATACACAGCCACCAGGTGTGATAGTACATACCACAACCACAGGTCTGAGACAGATGTTAAGTGCTCTACCATTGAGTCATGCTCCCAGCCCTTATTCAGCTTTGGAAAAAGGAAGGAAATGATGGTACATGCTATTAACATGGATGGATCTTAAGGATATTATGCTAAATGAAATGGGCCAAAGAATAGGTACAGTAGGACTCAACTTGTATGTGGTAGTCAAACTCAGAGGCAGAAAGTAAAATGGTGGTTACCAACATGGTTGGGGGGGTAGTTTACAGAAAGCTGTTGTTTAAGGAAACAGAGTTTCAGTTTTGGAATGAAAAGAGTTCTGTGGAGGGCTGGTGATGGTAAGTACACTTAACAACATGAATGTATGCAATTGAACTGTATATTTAAAAATAGCTAATTTTATGTTACATATATTTTACCAGAATTTTAGAAAAAGGAATGAAATTCTAACTCATGTTTAACATAGGATCATCTATGAAACATGGTATTAATATCAGATACCAAAAGGACAAATACTGTATAATTCCATTTAGTATGAAGTATGTGTATAGAAGTTAAACTCACAGACAAAAATTAGAAAAGAGGTTATCAGGCTGGTGCAGTGGTTCAAGTGGTAGAGTGCCTGCCTAGCAAGCATGAAGCCCTGAGTTCAAACCCTGTACCACCACCAAAAAAAAAAAGAAAATTGGTTACCAGGGACTGAGGGGAAGAGAAGAATATATTATTTAATGGGTACAAAGCTTCTGTTTGGGATGATGAAAAAATTCTAGACACAGGATGGTTGTAAAACATTATGTACACTTAAAAACAGTTAAAATGGGTTGGAAACAGAGCTCAAGTGGTAGAGCACTTGCCTAACAAGCACAAAGCTAAGTTCAAACCCCAGTACCACCAAAGAAAAAAAGTTAAAACAGTAAATTTTATGTTATACATACCTTACTACAATAAAAATTTTTGAAAGAAATGGGGAAAAGTATCACAACAAATATACCAAAATTCTTCTCTTGAAACAGATACTACAGGTCTTATTGAAAATCACTGAAGCACTTCTAGTGCCTTTGCTCACAACCTATTCCCTCTATTATCTGAACAAAGACCAAACACAGAACATTTCACATTCTTTAGCATCTATCCTTCAGTAACCACGAAGGGTTATCATCTATCCTGTAGTGAAAAAGATAATCCATAAAATGATCCAAATAAAACTGCTGAAAGAAATAATCAGAGACAGCACATCATCTCTCTTCTAAGAAAGGCTACTTAAAATAATGTGCAACTAATGTTCTACATATGCCCTCATCCTCATTTTGAAAAATTAATTGTTCCCTTCCCTCTTTTGGTCCTAGATCCTGTTTTTAAAAGGAGAATTTTCAGAGTACGAAGAACGTTACCTGGAAAGAGACATCATAAGAAAACAAACTAACCAGGGGCAGTGACTCACTCCTATAATCCTTGCTACTTATGAGACTGAGATCTAGAGGATCAATGTCTGAGGCCAACCCAGGTAAAATCCTTGAGACCCCCATCTCCAAAATAACCAGAGCAAAAAGGACTGGAGGTGTGGCTCAAGCAATACAGCACCTGCTTTGAAGTACAAAGCCCTGAATTCAAACCCTAGTCCCACAAAAACAAGAACAAAAAAACCCCTCCAACACGATTAATGGTAAAATACTGCTGCTATTTCCCTAAGAGAAGGAATAAGAAAAGGATGTCTGCTCTCATAGACTTTTATTCAATATTGTACCAGAGGTTTTAGCCAACATATAGGTGAATAGATACTAGGTAAATTAGAATGAATGAATTAGAAAATGAATAAATCAATAAGTATTATTCAGATAAAAAAGGAATAAACTCTCCTTGTAGATGACATGATTTACTATCATAAAAATCCTGGAAAATCAACAACAAAAACTAGAAAAACTAGTTACAAGACCAATATTCAAAAGTAAACTCTATTTCTGTCAATATGCACAAACTAATCATACTTCTATAAACTAGGAATAAAAATCCAAAAACAATTTAAGAAAATAATTCAATTTATAAAAGCATTACAAGAATAAACTACAAAGGGATAGATTTAACAAAAGAAGTATAAAGCTTGTATATTGCAAACTACAAAACATTCCTGAGAAAAATTTAAAATTATCTTAATAAATCATGGGCTTGGAACATTTTTTTTTTTCTTTTTTTTGCAGTACTGGGGTTTGAACTCAGGGCCTACACCTCAAGCCACTCCACCAGCCCTTTTTTGGGGATGGGTTTTTTTGAGATAGGGCTTTGCAAACTATTTGCCCAGGCTGGCTTCGAACCGAGATCCTCCTGAGCTCTGCCTCCTGAGTAGCTAGGATGACAGGTATAAGCCACTGCTGCCCGGCACAGTTAATATTTTTAAGAAGGCAATTCAACCCAAATTTGGTTATATATTCAAGATAATCCCTATTGAAATCCCATCTGAGTTTCTTGGAGAAATTAGCAAACTGATTCTAAAATTTACATGGAAAAACAAAAGACCCAGAATAGCCAGAACAATATTGAAAAAGAAAAATGTGCAGAACTTACACTTCCTGATTTTGAAACTTATTATAAAACTAAAGGAATAAAGACAGTTTCATGCTGGCATGAAGACAGATATGTAGATTAATGGAATCAAAATAGGAGTCCAAAAAACGTGCCCTTGCATTTGTGGTTAAATGACAAAGAACCAATACAATTCAATGGGAAAAGAACAGTCTTTTTCTACAAATGGTGTGAAGACTACTGGATATCTACATGCAGTAGGATGATTTTAGACCCATAGCTATTATCATGCAAGTACGATTAACTCAAGGCAGATTGTGTACCTAAAAATAAATGCCAATACAAGAAAAATTTTACATGAAAACATAGGTGATAATCTTTGTGATGTTGGGTTAGGCAATAAGCTCTCGGATACATTGGAAGGCCAATCATGAAAGAACAAAACTGATAAATAAGACTTCTTTAAAATTAAAAACGTCCATAATCCAAGACACCATTAAGAAAATGAAGACAGAACAGGAATATCGGAAACTGAGTTGTGCCCAGAACACAGAAAGACCTCTTGTAGTTGAATACCAAGAAGACAAACAATGTAACTGATAAAAAAGAATGAAAAATTCAGACAGACATTTCACCAAAGACGATATATATATGTATATATGTACATATATAGAATGAATGATAGCAAGTAGAAGAAAAAATGCTCAATAGTAGTAGTCATTAGGGAAAGCAAATTAAAACCACCATTTCAAATACATGAAAATGGCCTTAATGAAAAAGACAGTATCAAATGATGGCAAGGATGAAAAGAAATGGGAACTCTCATACATTGTTGGTAAGAATGTGAAGTATTGGGACACTCTGGAAAATGGTACAGTGTTTTCTTAAAGTTAAACAGATTTATCATTTCATGCTACTCTACTAATGATTTCATGCAAAAGTTCTCCACCTACATGAACTTGTTTCCATTGGAAAGAAAAAGAAACAGCAGCCTACTATATTAATAATTAATTGAATAGTCTAGATTAGCAGAACCAAACCATGAAAATAAATCTCAAGATTTTAAAAAAAGTCTCATATTTTCTCATACACCTAAGAGTTTAGTAACTACTGTTCTCTGAGGTATCATCACTATCCACCAGAACACTAATGGAATGGCTGGGGACCGTGACATTTACCGAGCACCATGTCCAGGCATGTCAGGCACTGCCACAGTAGTGCTTCCCAGCAGACAAAGAATTCTAGGCTTAAGGAGACCATTCTGCTTAATATCACACAGTGATTGCCCAGGTGAAGCCCTTTGCTCTCTCCTCCATTTTATAAGACTTCTAAGGATTTCAGTGTAAAACGAGTCAGTATTTATAAATAATATGATTTAAATGTTATCCCTGATTCTAATACTTTCAACTAGATGTACATGTAACAGAAGGGGTTATCTTATAATCCCTTATTATCATATAAGATGTATTAAATGCATCTTGTATACTAGAAGGAATAATTTTTAAACACAGTGCAGTATAAAGTTATTAAAATAACTTTACATAGCTCACATTCCAGTCATTTTGGTGATAACTCAAGAATGCCCAGTAATGAATGTCTGACAAACCATTAAATTGTCATACGTGTTAACTAAACTTCCAACCTCAGATTTCATTTGCTTATCTGATGAACATTAATTAAACTTCTGCCTAGAAACTATGTCTTTTCCTCAAGGAAAGCACAACCTTTTGACCACTCCCTTAATACTTGTTTTAACCGAGCCAAGAACTTCATGCCAAATCTGAAATAATTCTACATTTCTATAAGATTTTCTTTAAGCAGTATTGGAAATCCCTATTTTATTGGATTTATAAAATAAAAAGCTCAAATTTTTGAGGCTTTACTTCTTATAATTCATTCAATGAAGCAAACTATAGATTTGCTTTTTGGTAGGAGAGATCACAGGACACGTGTGTGTGTGTGTGTGTGTGTGTGTGTGTGTGTGTGTGTGTGTGTGTGTGTGTGTGTTGGTAGGAGAGATCACAGGACGTGTGTGTGTGTGTGTGTGTGTGTGTGTGTTTTTGGTAGGAGAGATCACAGGACGTGTGTGTGTGTGTGTGTGTGTGTGTGTGTGTCTACATGTTTTACTGTGAAGTTGTATCCTTCTCCAAAGGCCCTTATTAGGCTGTGTCAAAGAAAGTTATAGTAACACAAAACTAAGGAATGAAGACAAAGGGGAAGAAATAAATCTGTTCAGTCAAATTACACACTAAAAACAGGACACCATGTTTATACTTTACCTGCAGGTTTAAGGTCTCCTATCCGAATAATGTGTGGCCAGTGCTGGAGTGTTTTAGCAAAAAAAGGGTTGGTTACTCCTAATATGACTGAGGGCCTATAGAAAAACATAAAACAAAACAAAAGGGTGAGAAAAAGATGAATGTTAAATTGGCAAGAAAAATTTATAATTTCTTTTGCATGAACAATGAATGCATAGATTGTCTTCTCTTTTACTCAATGTATTATGTTTTAACTACATACCAGGCAACACATTTAGCACTAGGCATATAAAGATGAAAAGACATTATCCTTACAACAGCACATAGGAAGAAGGATATACATATCCAATCATGATATAAAAATCTTAAAAGATGCTGGGTGCTGCTGGCTCACGCCTGTAATCCTAGCTACTCAGGAGGCAGAGATCAGGAGGATCTCGGTTCGAAGCCAGCCTGGGCAAATAGTTGCCGAGACCCTATCTCGAAAATACCCATCACAAAAAGGGCTGGCAGAGTGGCTCAAGGTGAGGGCCCTAAGTTCAAGCCCTAGTATCATGCAAAAAAACAAACAAACAAACAAAAAAACCTTAAAAGACACTGAAGGTGGAATAAAATGCACAACGATCACAAAGAAGAACCTATGGTCTACCAGACTAAAGCATAGCTTCACCAAAGAGATGACATTGACATAAGACATGAAAGATGAGTAGGAACTTTTTGTTAAGTAGATAAGGGAGGAAAGGGTGATGTGGGAGAACAAGCAGTATGTGCCATGCTTGGAGATGGTTCTCACCAAGAACCATAGAACTGCACATAGTTCAGCATTCCTGGAGCACAGAATGAGAAGGATAAATAGCCGGAAATGACAGTAGATGGAAATTCTAAGTTTATATGGTAAGAAATTTACATGTTATTTTGCTGGGGGTGTGGTAGAACGTTTGCCTAGCAAGCATAAAGCCTTGAGTTCAAACCCTAGTACCACAAAAAAAAAAAAAAAGAAAGAAAAAAGAAAAAGGAAAAGGAAAGAAAAAGAAATTTAGATGTTACCTTACAGGCAAAAGGAAGTCACTAGAAAATCAAATGAAAGGATGCCACACAAAGAGAAAGATTACTATAGTGGAAATCTGGAAGATGCCCTACAAGTATGGGAGGGTTTGGGGGAAAGCCTAGACACAGCAAGACTGGGAAAGGAGCTAAGAAAGAAAATAATAAACATTCTAAGAGACATTTTAGGATGCTGAAGTGACAGAATTTGGTTAAAATCTGATGTGGGCCATGTTAAGAAGCAGAAATTTAAGATAACTTAAGTTCTGATAACTAAGCAAAAAGTAGTGCCATTTGTGAAAAAAGGAAGCATGAGACAGGGTAGAAAAAAGATAGCAGCTAAAAACATTCAGTCTGAAACTGTTTGGTTTCAGATTCAATAATATGCACAGGGTATTACTTAAGCAAAAGCTAAAAACCTTGTGGAGGTCTGGGGTAGGAAGTTTTATTTCAGTCATTATTTCAGGGTTTTAACAGAGACCATGGGTACTGATAAGATTGTTCAGAAAGAATTATCGGTATGAAATCAGAACCCAGATCATAACACGGAAGAACATCAGCATTTAAGAGGTTAGCAGAGAAATGACGTCTGCATAGGAGACTGAAATGTACCACCAGCCAGGCAGGAGAGTGGGATCAAGATTAAAATACTTTCAAGGTGAAAACTACAAATGTAGCCAGGCAAAGAGGGGCACATCTGTAATCGTGGTCTTGGGAGGAGGAGGCAAGAGGTAGTTCAAGGCTACCCTGGGGCTACAGATTAAGACTGTCTCAAAAACAACAACAAAAAAAAAGGTGTAAATGTTACAAGAAAGAGAAGGTGGGGAAATGATGAGGCAGTAAGAAGAGGAGGGGTTTTTGGTTTTTTGGTTTTCTAAGTCAGGATCTCATTTTCTAGCCCAAGCTGCCCTGGAATTCACTATGTAGCATAGATTGGCCTCAAACTCATGACCCTTCTCTCCTGCCTCCACCTCCCAAGATGCTAGCATTTCAAACATGCACACAACACCCAGCAAGAGGAGTGTATTGATAACTTTATATACAAAGTCCATTTAGAAACAAATTCAGTGAATATTGAGAAGTCAGCCTGAGGCTGACTGAGAAGCAACCAAAAAATCAAGGTGGAGAAAGTAAATAGATTTTTGTTGTTATTGTTCTACAACTTAGCTATAAAAAGAAGATAAGAAATAACAGAGCAGGTACTAAAAGGAAAAGGCTTAGAATTTTTCCCTTCTACAGATTAGAGAAATTTTTTTCATAATGACAGTAGAATCAAAAATCTGAGGCTAGGCACAGTGGCTAATGCCTATAATCCCAGCATTCTCTGGAGGTAGAGATCCAGAAGACTGTGGTTACAGGTTAACCCTGGCAAAAAATGGGTGAGATCCCATCTCAAACCAATAAAAAGCTGAACATGGTGGCACGCCTGTCATCCCAGCTACATGGGAGGTATAAACAAGAGGATCATGGTCCAGGCCATCCCTGGGCAAGAACACAAGACCCTATTCAAAAAAATAAAGCCAAAAGGGCTAGAGGCATGGCACACCTGGTAGAGCACATGCCTAGTAAGTACAAGGCCCTCAATTCAAACCCCAGCACCAAAAAAAAAAAAAAGGTACAATATGAAGACTATTAATCATAATACTGATTCCATAAACTAAAATCACTCAAAGAAATTAAGAAATTAAGTTCCTAAGTCTTGAAATGTTAAATTATTACCAGAAACTACTCAAGTCTTCCTAAAGTCAATTTGCCAATAAGCTTAAAATTTAAATAGAAATTATAAGACCAAAACAAGTTTACCTAATTTTGGTCATAAAGGTAATACCTGGTCAATAAAAGTTACTTTGTTTACTCACGGAGCTTGTGTACGCGTAGTATATTCTTTGAATTCACTATCATGAATCGTGAAATAAGGTCGGAAATCACTGAAGTACTTCAATGGAGAAATACAGCTGTGTAGCAAGAAGAGCATACAAAACAAAGGACACAGAAATTCAAGGCTCTACTCCATAACTGTGAAACATCCAAGTAAACAGTATATACCCAATGGGAGTTTATTTCAAAATGGTAAACTCATTTTAGGGAAATAAAAATACAAATGGAAATATGCAATGTGGGACATATTGAAAACACACTGGTCAGATTATCTGGGTAAGGGGGTACATGCCTGTAATCCCAGATACTTGGGATGCTGAAGCAGGAGGATCCACAAGTTCAAGGACTGCCTGTGCTAAATAGTAAGTCTGAGGCCAGTCTAGGTAACTTAGCAAGACCCTGGCTCAAAATTTTAAAATGTGCAGGGACTACAGCTCAATGGTAGGGCACTTGCCTAGCATGTGTGAGGCCCTAAATTCAACCCCCAAATCCCCAGTACCACACATACACATACAAAAAAAAAAGTCACTAGTCTTGGGGCATAAGATAGGATGAAGTTCTGGCTCTGCCATTCACTAGCTATGTGACTTTGATTAAACACTAACCATTCACACAACGAATATTTATCAAGACTAACTTCACATAAGTAAATGATTGTGCTCACCACTCAGGGCAACAAAACATGTTTCCAGTCCTCATAAAACGTGAATCCATTTTCTCATTCTTAAAATGGTGCTATAAGCAGCACCAGTCTGCCAGGGTTGTATTGTGGACCAATGCAATAATGTGTAGGGAAACATACCACAGATGTGAAAGTGCTGCAAATATGACCATTGGAAGGCAAATATACTCACTTAACAAGAGCCAGTACAGTCTCTGAGGACTCTGATGGAGATGGTGCCATGACCACCAGGGGCTCCCCCAATAGCACCAGCTCCCAAAGCATCTGGCTATGAAGAAAAACCGGGCAAAAACACCTAGAAGGTATTTACACAGTAGAAATATTGTGTTATTTATCCAATCCTGCTTTTTAAATTCCTATATAACCATTCTAAAAACTTCACATTGACATAAATTTGGTAGTAAAGAATAATGACAACAAATCACAAGGGGGAGCTCTAATACCCAACAATACAATTACTTCCTGGGCAGATCCTCCCCTGATACAAAGGCTGCATGTTTTTACAGCAATCCTGGAATGGAGGCCTGTGAGGACACAACTCCATTAGTACATTACTAAGCCTCAGATCCTTGGCAACTTTTACTTGTCTAGTCATTTCTTCTTTGTTTGGTAACAATTTTTCCTAGCAGATTAGAGATTAAAAAAACAAAAACAAAAACTTATCTACTTGTGACCATCATAACCAATCCAATTAGTTAAAAACACATACACATGCACAAAATATTAAAATAACATTTAAGTACCAAAATACACATTTATGAGATGAAAATTAAGGGGGCTAATTTTAACTACTCAAAGGCAAAAAAAAAAGAAGAATGTAAAGTATCTCCCCCACAATAGCTCAAGGATAAGGAGCTCTTGTTCTTGGTTCTGAGATGATTCTATCCTAAAGCAGAACATGGTAGGCATCTCTGCCACGAGGGGAAGAGTGCCACACTGACAGGCGGAAGGGAGAGTATGTCAGTGCTTGAGTAAGGTAAGACGGCCATCCATGTGCAGAGGTGGCCTGGGAGCCAGTGGAACTCAAAAGTAGTGAGGAAGGTAAATGGGGGTGCTGATCTGGTTTTCTGACCTGAAGCAGAGGGCAGCTCCAATTCCTATCTTACCAGTAGGTTGAATAGGTAGTCCATGGTGTGAGAGCACCCTGACACAAGTGGTCAGGCTGGGAGAATGGGGCTAACATCATAACATAGGGAGTGTAAGCACACAGTAAAGAGGACACTCATGTGGTACTGGGAGTGGGAGCCCAAACAGGCAGAAGATGGCATTAACTTGAGGAGGCAGGAGAGTAACCACAAGAGGGTTCACATGGGGAGGGTAAGGAAGGTGTCAATGTAGAAAGGCAGCCAGATGCAGAGTATCAGAGCCCAAGAGGGATGAGAAAGGCATGTGCATAGGAACAGGGCTACAGCATGGATGAGAAATAGGTTACTAACAGAGGGAATGATCATATCAGTAAATAAATAGGAGTCAGCGTCTAAGTCAGGGAAAAGAAATCCAAATATGTAAAGGGAAAAAACTAGAATGAACCCTGTCCTGTAGAACTGGAATTGAAGGTATCGGTGATTTTTAATACATATGGATATGGAAATGTATATAAATTACAACACAAAATAAAACTTTAAAATATTTATATGTTTGTCTCTATATGCTTGACACACATACACACACACACACATCCTCACTCTATGCACCAAAAGAGTCTAAAACCAATGAAGTCTCCTAACACTTGTCTATTCTGCCAATGATAGAAAGCCAAAATTCCTTCATTCTCAAGTTATAAGGGGGATATAGGAGTGAGTGAGAAGGCAGCATTGGTGTACCTCTCTCTGTACTAGGAATCCACAGCAAGAATTACTGGGTAAATAGTCCCTGACTCTAAGAGACTCTGAGGAATCTCTTTCCACTGTTTCAGAAAACTACCCTCCAATTCCTACCCAACTTAAGAACAGAATAAGTGGATTGTTTCTGTGGTCAAGATAGAGCTGAACAAAAGGCAGAATCCATGGAATAGAATCATAGTAAGTGTTGGCTTACTCAAAGGGGAAACATGAGCCCCTATCCTCAACTGTATCTCACTATTCAAATTCAGACACCTTTTCAGGTCTCTGTCCTCAGTCTGGGTGTAAAAATATCACTCTAATATAATTGATACATATTTAAACTCTCACACTAATAAGTGTAAAATGAAAGCTCTATACACACAAAATAGAGTCTGTCATAGGAAACACATTAATCCAATCATCAGATATTCAGTGCTTGACATCGTACCATCACTGTGTAATAAACATTTTTAAAGGTTTAGTTTTTTCATCCCTTGAAATACAAGAATTAAAAAGCAACAAGCAAACTTGTCCTACTTTGCAAATAGCAACATGTAATTTATATTCAGGAGAAGAGACGTGCTAATTAAAAATGTTAGTGATGAGGGTAATTGACTACCACCAGTGCACAGACAATAGGTAATAAAGGTGTAATACTCATTCTCGAAAGTTAAAGAAAACAAGTGTCTAGCAGTTGAATTCTGTATTAATTTATGCCAGGTCCTCAAGCTATCAGTTAATAAATCAAGTATCAAAACTATCAATAGTATACATCACTCTCAATGTATTTTTCCTGTGATATTCATTCATTTATTTTAGGAGATACCCCCTTTTTCATTCAAAGCTATAACATAATTTTTAAAGAAAGTTTATTTTTAAATTTTTAAAACTTTTGTACAGTAAAAATCACCCAAATATATAGAATAGTTTCATCACCTCAAAAAACTCCCTCATTCCCAATTCACCTTCCCTGCCCCAGGCAACCACTGATTTGATTTCTGTTCCTTTAGCTTTGCTTGTGCTAGAATATTACATAAATGGACTCATCCAGTGTCTTTCAAAAGTCTGGTTCCTTTGATGTTTTTGAGTCACTCAGATTGATGCATTTATCAATGATTCATTCTTTTTTTACTGTTAAGTAGTATTCTACGTGCATGAGTGCATTATATTTTATTTATCCATTTACCTGCTGACGGGCATTTGAGCTGTGTTCAATTTTATGCTTTTATCAATAAAGCTACTATATAGTATAAACATTTGCATACAATTCTTGGAGTGGGCAAATGTTTCTACTCTTATTAAGTAAATACCAAGAAGTGAGATCATTGGGCTATGCTAGGAGCAAGTGTATAAAATAAATCAAGCACATACCCCAAGCAGTTTAAAAGTCATTAAAAAAAAGACTGACCCTCAAAAATCCCACTCTATGTCCTTCATGACTCTTTTAGTATTTAGTGTTTCTCAAGCTGGGATACACATGAGGGATGCCAACCCAGATAGTCTTATTCAGCTGCTTTGGGTAAAGGACACAGATACTAGTAGTTTTTCTTTTTACTTCCTTCCTCCTTTGTAAGTGCTTGTTTTGTTTTTCAATTTTGCATTTTTAAATTTTTCAAACACACAGAAAAAATAGACAATAATGTAAAAACTCCCATTACATATCACTTAGATTTGATAAGTAATAATATTTGCCATTTTTACTTCATCTACTTTTTCTTACTGGAGAATGTTAAAATAAGGCACAAAGCTCATGACATTTCATCCCAAAATACTTTAACATGCATCTCTGTTCATTTCAAATATCTTAACAATACCATTCCCAAACCAAATGAAAATAAAAAACAATTTGTCTACCCTTTCATATCCAATACAAATTTCCCTAACTGTCAGAGCTCACAAATGCAGCCAGGGATGAATCATTGACTTTTATCATGTAAAACAATGAGGGACTGGGGGTGTGGCTCATGTGGTTCAGCACAGGCCTACTTAGTATGAGGCCCTGAGTTCAGTTCCCAGTAACCAAAAAGATAAGTACTTTCTCCAATTTTTTTCCACATCCTATATAAATACATTCATTTTCTAAACGAATTAATAGCAACATCAAAATAAGAGACAAGACAGTTAACAAAACTTTTTATTCTTTACCTGAAAAGATCCACCTCATGAACAGTAGGTAAAATAACAGATATGTTTGTATCTGCCTGAGAGATAAAAAAGAAAATGATAGAGAAAACATCACTAAAATTTACAGAAGTTGCTTTTTAAAATATGCCTACCTATCTCATGATTAATAACAGCCATTTTGCCTCGTACTTTTTTTTTTTTAAGTGGTACTGGAGTTTGAACTCAGGGTCTCATGCTTTCGAGGCAGGTGCTCTACCACTTTGAGCCACACCCTCACCTCTTTATTGTTTTAGTTATTATTCAAGTAGGGTCTCATGTTTTTTCCCAGTACTGGCCTCAGTTCCTCTTACCTATGGCCTCCTGCACAGCCTAGATGAAAGGCATGCCACCTCGCCCACCTTATTTTGTAGAGATAGGGTCTTGCTAACTTTTTTGCCCAAGCTGGCCTCAAACCACAATCCTCCATCTCTGCTTCCTAAGCAGCGTTGATTACAAGTGTGTGCTACCTGGCCAAGTGTCTATCTACTTTGTAAAGACTCTTTCTTCAAGAGAAGCAGGAAAGAAAATAGGTTTTACCAATCTCCCCTAATCCAGAAGAAGTAGAGAAAACACAGACACAACGTATACAGAATTAACCTGTAATCAAATGGGAGATTAGCTCCCACCTATATGATATACTGCCATTACACTAGCAGACAAAGTAACAGGAAAAGTCACTTTTCCTACTGCTTTCCAGTCTACTCAATCCTCAAAGGGAATGCTAGCTACCAGTTGAATCACTAATGAAAAATACAACTCCATTGATGAACAGAAAAATAAAAGGGAATCATAACTGCAGAATCCTTGCAAGTCTCCTTAAATCAGAGCAGGGTCACTCTTTTATGATAAAATTTTGACAAAATTAAAGCTTGTAGAAAAAATATCTACTTTAGAAATGTTAAAAAGTTTATTGCCAATTCACTAAAAAAGTTATTTAATGGGACATTTTGGTAATATTCAAGAAAATGCATTTGCAGTTTAAAAATTCTGTGATTATTTAACCAGAGTTCCACACTACCTGCTGAGTTAACTGCACTATTTGAGTTGTCCCAGGCTTGTCATGACATGTGGGAATCCGCACCTTAAAGAGAAAGAGAAGAAATTATCTTTGACTATAAAAGATGTGCTCTACCCTGAAATGCCTAAAAAGCTATAAAAACAAAACACTTACATCAGATTAAAAACTAAGGTTATATTTATTTTTAGTCACAGCAGAAAGTAAGGGAAGCAAAGTCTCCATGCCCACACACACAAAGAAATCACTAAGCCACTGAGAAGTAATGTGCTGAGAAACAGAAAAAGGACATTAACCTTATACTGCTTCCTGTTTATTGTTCTAGTCTTTGCTTCATTAATACACACACACACCCAAACACACCCTCTCAAGCCTGCCAAACTTTTGGATAAATTCAACAGGAAACAATGAGAACTATAGCATTACTTTTAATGACTTCCTAAGGAAAAAGGAATACATAGAAAAAAAACGAGTACATCTAAACAGAGAGCATTACCAGGTATGGCAGAGGATGCCTGTAATCCCAGCAACTTGGGAGGCAGAGGCATAAAGAGCACAAGTTCAAGGCCAGCCAGGACAAAGTCTCAAAAACAAAATGCAATTGAAAGGGCCGGGGGCATAGCTAACATGGCTAGAGCACTTGCCTACCATATAAGAGGCCCTGGATTCAATCTCCAGTATCACAATAAATTAATAAACAGAGAACACTGTCAAAAATAAGTCCACTTGAAAAATTGCAAAGCACTTAAGAATACATGCTAAGCTTGGAAGTAAAATGCTAATTCCTCAAAAACAAAACAAAACAAAAAAACACCTTAACAGAGAATGCTCAGGATGAACGTGTTTAGTCTAATGTTATATTTTAAGAAGACCTTTTAAGACTGAGAACCAATGGCAATAGAGTTGCAGAATTCTAGAAGGTGGCATTTACATTCACATGTATTATGTAGGAATAACATGCCTGTACAACCCTACAGGATGCAATGGGCCTGGAGGCATCTGGAGTTGTATGACTAAAGATTATGTAAAGCAGGCTGAATTGTGATGTCCATTGTGACACCCATCAACGACAAAAAGGTAAAAACAGTAATACTACTAAATGTTACTACAAAGCTAAAAAGCAAAACAATCTGTGAACTTCCAACAGAAATTTTTTTTTTTAAAGAGACAATTCCTGGCAGCGGCAGCATGGCTCAAGTGGCAGAGCACCTGCCTAGCAGGCACAAGGCCCTGAGTTCAAACCAAAAAAAAACAAAACAAAGGACAACTTAAAAAGAGACAAATGAGATATAAGCTATTACCTTCATTACTACCCCCATGATAGGCAGATGTAATGTTTTCCCTGGCACTGGGGCAGGCCATCGATCAACATCATTACAGGCTGGAAATATAACAAAATATTTTCTTAGTGTGAGTAGAAATATTAAAGTGTTAAAAATGGAACATTAGAAATTAGTACTATTTTCTTTGTAGGAAAAATATGGTTGGAAAAGGGGAGACAAAGTAAAAGAAAAGCAAAAATGATGAAAATATCTTATGTGGATATAAATTAGTTATAAATTTCTTGAAAGCAACAAATTAATAGGCTTACGTAATAGGATTAGTTTTCCTATTCTATTATTACTATTGAAATTGGCTGTGCATCATCTGGCAGAGGCCTTCCATCTATTTCAAATAGTAAGAATTTCTGTTCATTTGAGAACTCTCAACTCGAAATTCATTTATTATTATAATAAATATAATCATCTATGTTTTTAGACGAGATATCAAAAGATACTACTTTTGGTACTGGGGTTTTAATTCAGGGCCTCAAGCTTGCTAGGTAGGCACTCTACCACTTGAACTATTCCGCCAGCCCATTCCAGAAAAATTATCTTTTTTTAATTTTTTTTTTATTCATATGTGTATACAATGTTTGGGTCATTTCTCCCCCCTCCCCTCACCCCCTCCCTTACCACCCTTCCCGCCCCCTCCCTCTCCCCGTCACCCCCTCGATACCCAGCAGAAACTATTTTGCCCTTATCTCTAATTTTGTTGAAGAGAGAGTATTCCAGTAAAATTTTTAAAACTCCTTTATTAGGGTATATAACTCATAAAATGTTAAATTTACCTGCTTCTAAATAAGGTTCATTCTTTTCAAAATACTCTGGTGCTATCTGTTTGAGCACGGTGTGAAAAAAATGAATGTAAGGTAGTTTGCTGATCAAAACCAATGACTGGGGGAGACAAGAAACAATGTTTTTTAATTGCATAATGATTATAACTTAAGTTTGCCATTCACATCTTACATGAACAATTATAAGCTAAATTCAGCAATAAGGGTGGATTTTGAAATAAAAGGCTTTTACAATAGATGGTTAAAATATCATACAAAATCATAGCTAAAGAATGTAAAAAGTTTAAACTTATTACTACACTTTAAGAGCTAAATGCATATAAACAGATGTTCCTACTCTTCAGGAGAAAAGAATCACCTATAAACAGACTAACATCATGGATAATTTTCAAAGCCTGGCTATTGTTCTCTGTAGTACAACAATATTAGCAACTTAATAGTGACTTTTTAGCTTGACCACTTTGGATACAAATTATGCTGATTTTTATAGTTTTTCTTTAAAAATCACCTTTGTTTTTCAACTTATTATTTATTTAGATTTTTTATTAGCATATATTAATTGTTCAAACGGGTTTCATTGATATTTCCATACATTCCATACAATGTGCTTTGATCCAATTCATCCTATTATACTCTCTTAATCTCCCTCCTTTCTCTCCCTCTCTTTCAAACAGTATTTAGTGGGTTTCATTATACCATCTTTATATACATGTATACATGAAGATGTATGTGTATGTATGTGTGTGTATATACAAATGGATTTCCAACTAGCATCCATTAGTGGTCAGGGCAAATTTTGATCACAATGGAAAAGATAGATCCTGATAAATAGGACTTATATTTCTTTTTTTAAGAAAAAGATTACACATTAAAGATGGAAACAATAATGGCTAACAAGTTGCTCAATTTTACTCACTGGCTATTCAAAAAAAAGATACTGGAGGCTTTCAGTGGGTGTAACAATATTACAATTGGTTTATTCTTTCCCTTATTCCAAAATGTCAAAATTAAGCAGACCCTTCCATATATTAACTGTAATTTATTATTCAGAATCTAGCATAGAGGTACAAAATTTCAATAGTTAAAAATCTAGACTGGCGTTTATAATCTAAAAAGCACAAATAAACACTTAAAGAGCTTTAAAGACTTTAATCTAAAAGCTCCTACTTTCTAATCACAATATAAAAATACTTTATTAGTGTATATAAAACTTACCTTCTGAAAGTAGCCTCTTTTAAGAGTTTTATCTCGAACTTGTCGAAAATACACATATCCATAAAAATAAGCAGGATCTTTCTATGAAAGTGACAAAAATCATAATATAAATATATGTTAATCCATCCTTTAATGCTGACATCAGGTTTCTTTATAAACCCAAATCAAGATATAAGGTATACACAAACAGTTATGCTTTTCTACCAACAAATAATCACAACAGTAACTACCAGATAAAAACTTAACTTGCCCTAAGACAGTAATCTAAGTACCAAAATGAGACTGTTGCCCAAAGAATTTACTCATCTTTTGTTCTTTATTCACATCTATAAAATAATATAAAACATTATATAAATTAATTCTCTATCTTCTCCAATGCCATATTTGGTTTCTATAAAATTCTGCATATAATTTTCAGTTTGCCAGGGCTAAAGGGTTAGTCTTTCACCAAAATGAAATATAAAATTTCAAGAGAAGACACAAAAGGAGTTAAATAGCAAACAGGGTCTTTTTTTTTTTTTTTTTTTTTCCCTGTCTTGCTATGTAGCCTCGGCTGGCCTCAAACTCATGATCCTCCTGCTTTGGCCTCCTTAATATAGGGGTTATAGGCATGTACCACCACACACCCAGCCCCAATCTGGGGTCAGATATGTTAATACAGCCAGTTATGGTAATAACGAAACATTAGAATGTTCATTAACATACTATTTGGAAGGTAGTTACACTGCAAAACCTTAAGGAGCTTTTACATCCTAATGGAATAGACTGGTTCAGTTCCTTATTTGATTGTTACTTTTTAAATAAATATTTATTGACCATCTACTTTAAACAAGGTAATGTGGTAGGAAAGATAAAAAGATGCAAAAGACGTAATTCCTTAATCTAGGAAGGATAAGAAAAGTTCAAAAATGGCTATTATGTAATAGGAGTGTGGGTCCAAAACAGAAAGTGCAAAGTGTTACAGGAAGGTCAAGGGGAAGACTTGGAGGCAGCTGATTTTTAATAGTGCATTGAAGAGTGGAAATGATTTAAACAAAAACAAGAGCATTCTAGAGTTAAAGGACTGGGAATTTGAAAAATAAAGAGAGAAAAATACAAAGTTATCTTAGGAAAAAGAACAATTCAGTTTGGCTAACATATGGTACACATATTGAAGGAAATAAGGTTGGAAACTGAAAATTTAAAGGGTCTTATTTTGAAAGGTCCAAAAATTGAGTATAAAGAAACACTATCATTAGCTCTTTATTCATTCAGCAATTGGTAGCCATTTCAGACTCATACTTATTTTTGTAATATATATATATGTAAACTTTAGCTGGAAATACCGTAAGCTATAGCATGTTAGAAAAAACAAGAAGTGGGATGTCCTGGGTCAAATTTCTTATCCTCATAGCCCTCAATTCCCTCATCTGCAAAAGGAACTCTCTCAGAGAATTGTAGGGAGGATTAATAACATAACACATACTTATTAATACAGTACCTAGAACACAAAAGCCTTAAGAAATAACAGCTATTATTATTATCAGTTGAAGAACATATTAATTGTAGTAGCAGTAGGTCATGGAAGGGAGTAGAGGGCTCTAAGAGACATTTTGAATGTTGTATCTTTTCTGAGAGGGAATTCCTTCCATTAGTGGAACCACGGAGGTCAATGGTAAAAGTTGATTTCAGGCAAATGATGTCAAGTTCACACTGTGCTGGACATCCAGATGAAACTGTTCCTCATGCAGTCAGAGATGAAATGATAGAGCACTAAAGAGAGAAACTTAGATTCTGAAATTATTTGAATTATTATAAAACTGTAAAACAAAAATCACTGAAAATCAAAAAAATTTTATTTTATCACAAAATAAAATGGATTATTACAGGGAATGACTACTCCAGCTGTGGAGGGCATTTACTTTATAGTACCACTGCAGACACATCTCAACACAGATTAACAAAAGTTACCTCAGCATACCCATCCATTTCTACAATTCACAATGGCATTAAACTATGTTTTAAGAGCTAAGCATGGTGATTAATGTCTATAATCCCAATTATTTGGGAGGTGGAGGCAGGAGGATTGAGAGGTTGAGGTTAGTCCAGGCAAAGTTAGCAAGACCATATCTCAAAAATAAAATACAAAAGAATGGGGGCACTACTTAAGCAGTAAGAGTGCATGTAGGAGGCACTCTTCCTCAGGGTTCAATAAGTTTCAAGAAAAGTAACTTCATAGTTTCTTTCACTCACATGCTGAATCTTCATCAGTTAGACTGCCTTAAGAAATCTTGCTATATAATGAAGTAAACAAATCAAAGCAAAATATTTCTGAATGCTATCCGAGGTAACTGAATATATGAGTTCTAAAGTAACGAGTTTTAATGTTTCCTCTCACATGGGTATTTTTTCATGACTACTTTTCCAACCTTTAAGTAAACTGGTAAGTCTTTGTCAAATTGATCGAGGAGACAATGCAGTGACACCCTCCTTCCAGAAGACTGTCGAAATCTAAAACAAAACTGGGTATCTCCCAGACAACCTAATGAAAACAAAAATGAAAGAAAATAAATATTTATCCAGTTTCATCAACTTTAGAGCTGAAGAACTCTTATAAATCATTTTAACTCATCCTGTCATGTTTCAGAGAAGAAAAAGGAGAGCCTAAATGTTTGAGTGTTCAAAGGACATCTTCGCTGATTAGAGGCAAAGCCAGCAGTAAAACTCCAAAAGTTAGTTAGACTTGAGAAGAGCTTATATACCATTTTAGCAAAGAAATGACTAGACACAGTAAAAGGGGTCTGTACTTCTAGGAGCAATAAATTGTGGAAGGTAAAATACATGTGGAAAACTACTGGAAGATAAATGTTATTTTAGTAAGGTTCTTTCTGCAGATTCAAATCAATGCCATCTCCAGTAAGAGCTAAGAGCCTTCAGTGATTCAGAATGTGTCTCTTCCTTCTAGAGAGAGGCTGGCAAACACTTTCATAAAGGGAAATTTATGTCCTGTTTTTTACACATTTAGGAAGGGGAGAAAGTTCTTTTTGTATCTGCTGTTTCTCAGTTGCCTTCAGTTCAAAATAACCCTTATGCCAAAAAGACATATGGTGGGTGGGGGGGCAGATTTTCTGACCTCCTTCATGCTCACATAGGAGAAGAAGAGAGAATGCCACAACAGCCAGCAATGGTCTGAACGAGAACAATATGCTGAGAATCTACTGGGACTCCAATCACAGAAAGTCAGTTCATACTATAGACCATATAACTTGGCTCACCTTAAATTCTAAACATTCAACACAACACTCGCTACACTCAGAACTGCATGTGAAGATTTTAGAAGGAAAATGTTAACTGAAACAAGTATAAAGTCTACAAGACCTCACTGTCCTCATATCACTAACAGGCAAAAAACCCACTAAAGACATTGCAATCATTACATATCAGAACAAAAGACCTACTAGACTCCTTCAAAGGCGATATCTAAATTACCAAGATACATTCTTTTCGTTCAAGCCTGATTTCCAAATGTATAGAAAAATTAAACATCAAATCTCCCAAATCAGATTCACTGAACTCAATTAACAGGACATTAAAAGTAACTACAACAGGAAAAAGAACAGGAGTGACTCTGCACTATAAGGTTCTAACTGTGTGTAGTGTGGGAAAATGAAGGTTCTGGTCACTGTAAGTCTAAAAAGCTGTTTTAAAAGTAAAATACAAAAGATAACCTGAAAGATGTCAACGATTTAGGACCACACAAAGGGAGAACTTGAAGGGTAAAACCAGGCTTAATAATAAGCAAAAACTTACATAGTTTTTCTATACATCAAGCACTATTCCAAGTGCTTTACAATATATTAACTCATATAAACTACTGTAAATAATTGATGGCCATGTTTCTTAACTGGATTCACTTGTTGTTTAAAAAACTTACTGCTTTTATAGAGTTCCTGGCAAGCTCCTCAATTCTGAACTAAAAGTAAACTATACACTATAAACTATATACTCTATGTCTCCAAACATACTAATGCTGCCAACTTTCTATCTCTTCCCTATTCTAACAGTTTATTGCTCCTTGATTGTTTAACCTCATCACACACTAATAGTTACTTTAGAAGTTGAACCAACCAAAATCAGCAATGACATGATAAGGCATCATTAAACTAGGAATTAAAATCACTGATTTGTTGGGCTGAAATAGAGTTTGCATTCTAATATGCTATTTCAATAAATGTTCACATATTAAAAACACAACCAGTATTCTTAGGATAAAGCTCAAGAGTAACACCCCATGAAGAATATTTACCTGAATTTGAATCTGGAAAAGATAAATAGCAAATATTGGTTTTCTGAAAAAGAAAAAAAAAAGCTATGTATACTAATATACACAAATACCAATAGAAACAAACAGAAATGTAATAGTAGAGTACACATAGCAACATTTTTACTTACTTCCTTATCAGTAAGTTTGGAATGCTGAGGATAAATTACCTGGGGGGGAAGAAATAAATTTCGTTAGACATCTTCTAAAGTTCTAGCTGGCTATGTTCAAGTAGCTTTTAAGAACAATTTCACAGGCAGGTACAGCAGTCCCTGCTACTCAGGAGGCTGAGGCAAGAGGATCCCTGAGCCTCAGAGTTCAAGCCCATCCTGGACAACACAGTGTGATCATGCCACAAACAAGAAATGAAAAGTTGTTTCCAGGTTGCACTGATGATGAACTGACAAAAAAATGGAAGTGAGTAGTGAAATGAAAATGGTATATAAGTACATTTTGTTCTGGTAATCAGGTTTTTTGTTCGTTTGTTTTAAAAAACAGCTTATTGTTTTTGAGAAATGAGATATTCAAAACTTGTTAAAATGTCCTAAAAATAGAAAAAGAGGAACTATGTAAACAAAAAAATGTTTCAATAAAAATTTCAGTGTGGCTTAAAAAAAAACGTACAAACTGAAGAAGCTGGAAGAACTGAGTAGGATTTATATTAATAAATTTTGATTCAAAGGCTGGTGGAGTGGCTCAAGTGGTACAGTACCTACCTAGCAAGCATAAGACCTTGAGTTCAAACCCCAGTACTGCCAAAAACTTTTTTTCAATTCAAAATTATCTCTAAGGTAGGAGAAATCTTGAATTATCAAGAATAACATCAACTGAATTACTAATAACTCAAAGCTTACTTTTTTGAAACCTATAATCTAAAGAAAACCTAATGTATCTCTAAGCTATTATCTACTTTAAGAAATAATTTTCAATGGATTCCAAGAAGTAATATACATCAGTATAAGAGAAAAATGGAGAAAGAAAAGAATTACCTGCAGTTTAAGAAATCTCAAGGCCCATACTCCAGCATAAAGGCAATCCTAGTTCCCTCCATTCCTTTAAATAATCATTGTGTATTTTCCTAGACAGGTTGGTCTAACACCTGCAGTGACTTGCAACTTCTGAGGGAAAATTCCTGTCCCCCAAACCCTCATAAAGGAAGGAGAACTAGGCCAAAGTAGCTACTGCCAGAATAAACACTAGTCAACAGCAGACTCAAGGGCATCTCCCTACAGATCAACCAACTGCCATGTTATGACCATCCTGATTTTAGTAGACAAGTAACAAATCTATCAAAGTGACAAAACGGAGGTGTTCAATACCTCTTGACGGGCTGACTGGTCCTACATACCACTACTGTCCAGAGGGCATCTTCTGGCATTGGCAACAGTCTCTCTTCCTCATGACACCATCATCAATGAGCAGCCGTTTTTCAAGCAGGACACCAGAGGCATGGTGCTAAGGGGCTAGCTGAGGTTGAGGGTTAGGACTACATATATACACACACACAATTCAGTCCTCCCTGTGTATCAGGCACTGTGACCCTGGTATGCAAACTTCTCAATTCTCAGGTCTTTCCTGTTTGGGCTTTTTGATGCGGAAACTTTAAATTCATATGCAATCAAATCTACCCGTTTTTTACTTTATGATCTCCTACTGTTCTTATTCTTACAAAGTCTTTCCTTAAGCTCATATCAATTAAATCCTTATCTAAATTATGATATGATTATCTTTTAAATTTTTAATAGTGGGCTGGGGATATATCTAAATGGTACAGCTTGCCTAGAATGCTTGAGGCTCTGGGTTTGAATCCCAGCACCAAAAAAAGTTAATAATTCTATGCGTCTGTTTTAAAGTGTATTAAAAAAACTAAGCTGCTGGTGGAGTGGCTCAAGTGGTAGAGCGCCTGCCTAACAAGCACGAAGCCCCTGAATTCAAACCCCAGTACAGATGAAAACAACAACAAAAAAACCCAAAGCAAACACAAAAAAATCAAGACAAACAAGTGCTAAGTAAAAAGAGGGAGGTGAGAGTAGGTGAAGAATACATTTTTAAGAAATATTAAACAGTATAAATACAACAGGAATGATTTGAAACTTGGAAAACAACAATTAGTTCAATTCTTGCATATTTTCTCCTAATATTTTCAGGGCTTTTCTTATTTAATGTTGAGCTAAAGTTCAAACTGGTTTGGTTTTTTGTTTTACTTTCAAATTGCAAATTTTCCCAACACTATTTGCTCCAAACAAAAAACTTTTTCCCACTGGGCTATAGGTGTAGCTCAGTGTGCTTGCCCAACATGCACAAGGCCCTAAATTCTATCCTTAGCACCACAAATAAGATAAAATAAATTAAAAAAACTATTTGCCATTGATATGTTATGCTCTACGGTTCCTTTTAAAAACTGTTTCAATCTTTTATTCATATTTTACATCATTTTAATCAATCCTCTACAGTGAAAGAGCAGAAAGCCAGAAAAATCAAGTCCCTATAGCATTATTTAAATAATTCAATTGTGCCTTGGGTCAGGCTTACCTATGGATTTGTAGTAACATTAATCAATGTGTTGGATTATAGACATACAACACTACACAGGCTTGTAATGAGATTTTCATAAAATATAACTAAATAAAACGTAATAGTAATGGTTGTTAAGTTTGCCATTTCTGCTTTAAAAGTAGTAAGCAATTACACAAAGTCTGTAGTTAAAATGGTATTTTGTCCTACACATAAAAAATGCAAATCGTGGGCTGGGGCTACCTCAGTAGAGAGTACTTGCCTAGTGCGTGTGAGACTCTGGGTTCAATTGTCAGCACTGGAAAAAAAAATACAAGTGGTCATTAGACAACATAACATGGGGACTCAATTTAGATACAGTGTATGTGTGGTATGTGTGTGTGAGACAGAGACAGACAGACAGATAGGCAGGCAGACAAAAAAGGCACGTATCTGTTCAGAGTATAGGGGCGAAGAGCTGTCCGTACTCACCAATAAAGCCACTAATATTCTTAGTAGGCAAAGAGGAGAGTAGGATAAGGTAAGCCTGCAGAAGTAAGGAGAATGAGAACTATGTTGGGGATTGTGAGGACCAAGGCTTTAAGGATAGCCCTGGCAAATTAAAAAAAAAGACCCTATCTTAACGGAAAAAAGCTGGGTGTCGTGGTGTGAGCCTGTCATCCCAGCAACAGCAGGAAGCTTAAAACAGGAGAATTATGGTACACACAGGTCTGGGAAAAAAGCAAGACTCTATCTCCAAAATACCCAGAGCAAAATATAGCTAAAAAGGTAGAGCACCTCCTTAACAAGCACAAAAACACAAAGCCCTGAGTTCAAACCCCAGTACAGCTACAAAAAAAAAAAATCTCATAGCTAAGTTACCCTGAAGTTTGGTGGGATGAATCATACTAGCAAATTTAGTGGCCTATAGTAGCTTATCTTAGAATCTAAAATTAGTTTTATCTGAATATCCTTCAGATGCTTTATTTCCTACAGTTAAAATATCAATGCAAGGGGCTAAAGGCACGGTTCAGGTGGTAGAATGCCTGCCTGTCAAGTACAAGGCCCTGAGTCCAAACCTCAGCACTATCAAAAACAATAAAAACAAAAGTACCAACTCAAAAGCAAGCAAACAAAATTTCATTTTTTGTTACATAAAAACATCATAGTGGAAAGTTACTTTAGACTTTGTTTTCCTATGATTTAAAATACTAGCACGACAATATTTCTTTAAATGTTACGTGTTTTACCCATACATTTGAATAAAAAAAGTAACAAAAAAAAATCATAACTTGTGTGTGCATGTATATGTATATACACATATGTGTGTGTATTTAAGGGGTTTATATATGTATATATATGTATACGTATATATATACGTACATATATAAACGTATATATATATATAGATATAAATATATACGTTTAAGCAAGGGAAGAAGATACCAGAACTACACAGCCTTCCAAGTCCACTTTTTAAAAACTAATTGTATTGTACTGTCAAACAGTATTCTAGAATTTCACTTTAATGTTCTCTGTTAGGACTACCCAGTATCTTAGTTTACAACAGACAGGATATTCAAAAAGAAATCCTCTGTGTGTGTGTGTGTGTGTGTGTGTGTGTGTGTGTGTGTGCACCTGTATTAGCTAAATGTCTACACTGTATTTAACATCAGAAAAATTCTAAATCTTAAAATCTCAATTAAACTCCCTACATAAAAATGAAAATTATCCAAGTATCCTAAACTACTGTACAAATTATTATATTATTACAACTACCAATGTACATGTTCTATTCTGTTAAAAAAAATTAATATAAGCTCAGGCAAATAGTTAGCTCCTATTACCTATAAGGAATTAACAACACTGGGGACTGGTTCTAGTACCTGGAGATGCCTCTCATTTGAAGTTTCATTCTCCACAGCTCGAGTACAAGCATCACTGTCCCCAGGACACTTACATTCCTGGGAGGCATCAAAGGAGAACAGAGAGCACCAGTTGGTATGACCCTAACTCAGTTACCTGTGTTTGATTCTCCTATATTACAACAAATAAAGAGTTGTGGCTAGATGATCAGCCAACGAAAGAAGTTGTATTTACATAATTACTACAGACAAAATGATGACAGGAAAAAATGTGTCTTGGGAAAATATTATATATATTCTGGAAAATGTATTATAAAATGTTTTAAATGAGGCTATTCTCTGTACAGGTATATCTAACTGCTACTGCAGCCCTGCATGCCCTAACCTTCCACCTTGGTGGGAATTATCATGGTCCCAGGAGAAGGAAAATTAGGAATACAAGTTACTGCTATTATCACTTGAGCATGGAAAAAACCCATGCTGCCATGCACCCAATTCTGTGTAAGTGGGTGCCTGCCTGCTGCCCAAAACTTAAGTGTCTGTATCCATTACACTCTCTCACTTCACATCCCAGGTCAGGCAGAGCCTACATTTCCCAAAAAAAGCACTGCTTCGATCTCCTACATAAACATTAACTCACAAACATCATCACATTCTTAAAGAAAAGATGAATTGTAAACCCAATGACATCTTCAATGACTAAATAATGTAGTACATTTCAAACTGAAAAAAGAAATTATTTCATTGAGGAAAAAAAAACCCATCTATTGGAGACCAAGGCAGAAAGATCACTTCAACATAGCAAGATCTGGTATCAAAAATTAAACAAAATGACAAAAAAGTTCACATTTATCAATTAGTTATAGTTCATGTAATTTTATTCTTTTTTTTTTTTTTATGAGACTGGAGTTTGAACTCAGGGCTTCACACTGTGCAAAGCAATACTCTACCATTTGAGCCCCACCTCCAGTCCTAATGTAATGTTAATTAGCCAAAAAATATTTTCAATATATATTAAATAAAGCATAATTTCTCTTTTAAAAGACCTTTTGTAATGATAACACAGTAGCAAGGAGCGTAACTAGTATGCAGATGTTGTTTGCTAAGTAAAAAGTTTTCTCCAGTAAAAGAATAAGGCCTCCCTGGGCTGGAGATGTAGTTTGAAAGTACAGTGCTTGCCTAACATGCATGAGGCCCTGGGGTTACATCTCCAGCACCACAAAAAGTAGTCACTTTGAACAGGCGACTATATATAGGACTAGACAGGAGCCTGGAGTATCTTGTGCCAGAAAGAAACATTCAAAATAATAATAATTATTATTATCCTTGAGTACATATTTGGTAAAAAGAATATATACGTAAGATGAGACAGTTCTCCTTATAGAAGAATTTCAACTAAGAAAGTAGAAGGGATGAAGAAAATAGAAAAATCACTAACAGAACACTACAGTAGTAACCACTACAGGAAAAATCCACTGACAGATGCTAAAATTAGCAAAGCTTGAAAAACAACTTAATTAATTACAAAGGGAAAAATAGCATCTTTACATGGAGAACCTGGCAGATGCCATGTTTATCAAGTAATTAAAATTAAAATCACTGAGGCAGGAAGCGCACTTAAGCCCAAAAGTTCAAGGCCAGTCTGGGCAATATAAGGGCAACCCCATCTCAAAAAAAAGGGATGGGGATGGAGGTGTAGCTCAGTGGTAAATCATTTCCCCAGCATGCACAAAACCCTTGGTTTAACTCCCAGCACCACACACACACACAAAAATTGACAAACATATTGACACCTCTCGTATTACACTCAAAGGAGACATCACTTCTAGTAGTCTTCCTAATAATGTATAACTTCCAACTAATCCCAAAACAACAGAAAATCCCAAACTGAAGAACAATCTAGTAAATAGCTGACAAGTAATTTTCCAAAGTGTGAAGTCAAAATACAAGGAAACACTGAGTAACTTTGGCAGATTGGAGGAGCTATGCAGATATGATACCCACATGCAATGTGGGAACCTGGATTGGCTCTTCAAACAGAGACTAGCAGAAAAACTGGTAAAACCTGAATAAACCATATAGTTCAGTAAATAGTATCATACCACTGTTATTTTTTTTTTTAAGTTTTGACTACTGTACTAGTAGGTAAAATGTTAACTTTAAGGAAACTAAGTGAATTACATCTGCCATGTAAGTCTAAAATCTCAAAAAGTTTTTTTTTAAACCCTGCCTCATGTATATACAATAATTAGCTCAAAGTGGGTTAAAGACCAAAGGTAAGAGATAAAATTATAAAAGTCTTAGAAGAAAACATAGGAATAAATCTTAATGACTTTAGATAATGGTTTCTTAGGTATGACACCAAAAGCACAAGCACCCAAAGCACAATATAAATAAATTGCACTTTGTCAAAACTTAAAAACTTATGAATCAATGAACACTCCCAAAAAAATGAAAACAGCCAGGTGCTGGTAGGTCATACCTATGATCCTAGCTACTCAGGAGGCAGAGATCAGAAGGATCACGGTTCGAAGCATGCCCAGAAAATAGTTTGAGAGACCTATCTCAAAAACACCCATCACAAAAAAGGGCTGGTAGAATGGCTTAAGCAGTAGAGTGCCCGCCTCAGGAACCTGATTTCAAATCCCATACCACACACAAAAAAATAATAATAATGATCCACTTTCTCTACATATTACCTAGTGTCAGTATTTGTTATAACAGAAAACAGACCAGTACCAAGATCTCTGCACAGTAAGTACCAAACAAATTATTACAGACTATCCAACAGCCTCAGTGTTCCTATTATAATACATATAAACAAAAATTTAATAATGTTATCCTAAATGGATCCTAAATTACTTATAAATGACTCAGAATTAGGCGGGAATTCAGTAAATGAAATACTGATATAATTCAAATAAACTAGGCCAAAGGGTAACTATTTCATTATTTCAAGAACACTCAATAAATAATACTAACATGTATCAAGTGCTTCCCTTGTGAAGGGTACTGTGCTACATCAATTCATCCTCACAAATAGACTGAAGAGCAGAACTATCACCTTATGTTAGCATCTGAACTGTTATCAGCTATGAGAATACCTACATTCTGAAAATCTAATACGTCACTAATTGACACAGGACACAGTCTGGGTTCAATCTTTTCTTCAAATAGAAGGAACTTGGAGGGGATGAATCCAACTATGATACATTGTAGAACTTTTATAAATGTCACAATGTATCCCAGTATAATATAAAAAATAAAATAAAAAACAAATAGAAGAAACTGTACACTGTGCATTTCACAGGAATATTAAAGAATGTTGCTATCTACAGGGACTAACTATGATAAAGGTATTTAACATACAACTCACAAAATATCTTTGGTTCAATTACAGGTTCCCTAATCTAAAATGGCTGGAACGAGAAATGTTTCAGATTTGGGTTTTTTCCTTTTCTGGAGGGGTGGAGGCAGTACTGGGTTTGAACTCAGTACCCCACACTTGCTAAGCAGGACTCTACCTTTTGAGTCATGGCCCCAGCCCTTTTTTGCTTCAGTTATTTTTCAGAGTTGGTCTTGTGTTTTGCCTGGTGCCAGACTCAGACCATAACCTTACTATAACACAACCCTGCACACAGGGATCACAGATATGTGCCACCATATCTGGCTTATTGACTGAAATAGGGCATTGCTAACTTTTTGCACCTGCTGACCTTGAATCTCAGTCCTCCTGATCTCCACCTCCCAAACAGCTAGAATTATAGGCATGAACCACGGCAGCCGTCCAAATTGGGTGTTTTTAAATTCTGGAATATTTGCGGACTTTACTGGTTGTCTACCCCAACCCGAAAATGTAAACTCTAAAATGTTTGGAAATCTCAGATTTTTAAACTCAAAGTTACTCTACTTTTATGAAAAACAACTAACTTTAAAAGCTCAGAGCATTTCAGGTTCAGTTTTTTGGGTTAGGGATGCTCAACATGCATTAATAACAACTTGTAAAGGGTAAGACTTTGGGAAATAAAAGGCAAGCTACCACTGCTATTTATTTGGAAATTTTATTTCCAATTACCACTGGCATTTCACATGTTAGTTTGCTTCAGTTTTTCTCTAAATAGTAAACAAAAGTAGGTTCATTTTCACCTAGGAGCACATTGGATAAATCAAGTCTCGGAGTCAAAAGAACTTTGATTCAAATCTTGACTTAAGTGTATGATTTTGGTCAAGTTAGCTCCCTAAATTTCAGCTTATTTAAAAGAGTTTTAATATTACTTAATAGAGTGATTAAAGGAGTAAGATAAAATAAAAATTGAACATCTCTAGTTTTTCTAATCCTCATTTGTTCTCTAGTTCCCTTAATAAGAAACTACTAGGTAGTACCACATATAGGAGTTACAATAGTGAAAAAAGAATAGTAATTAGGGAGGTTAACCAGAAAGAAATCAAACATTAGTGACCAGTCAGAAGCAGATTACTGGGTGGGGTATGCTCAAGTGACAGAGCACATGCTTGTCACAACTCTTGAGTTCAAACTCCAGTACTACCAAAAACACTACACACATACACACACACACACATACACACACACAAAGTAGATTACCCTAAATTATTGGTATATCAGGCTTTACTTTTGTATCCTCTGTGAGAGTCCATAAAGCTTGACCCATCACAACACAGTATGGCATTGTGAGCCCTTGGTGTGCCAGCACTGTGCTGGTGTCTCACACTGTGGCAATTATGTGAAGTTGCTTCCACTATATTCACAAGAAAGCAAAAGCATA